CTGCTGTCCACACAGGCAGCCCTGGTGCCACCGTGGTTAAGTGTCAGCCTGCTACCAAAGAGTCAGCAGTTCTAACCCACTGCCTGCGCTGTGGGAGAAAGAGGAGGCTGTGTACTTGCAGGAAGATTGACAGCCTCCAAAACCCTAGGGGAAGCAGTTCAACTCTGTCCTACAGGGTCCTTGTGAGTCGGACTGACTTGAGGGAGGGCAGTGGATCTGGGGTGGCGACACAGGTCAGGAGGGTCTGTGTAGAGGTGTGGACAGCAGTCCTATCAGGCAGCAGAGATGGGGGAACTGGAGGAGAGTCAGGAGGGGGGGCGGGTGTCGCACAGCGGGGACACTGAACACAGACCCAGCCCACTAAAGAAACCCACCTGACCCCCAAGCCCTGTAGCCCCTCCCCAGGGGCGGCTTTTACTCAGCCCCCATGTGCACCACCTCCTGCGGCCTGCTGGCCTGGGCTGCCCCCACCGCAGACCCAGAGAGACTGCACTGCCCTCGTCACAGACCCGGACACAGGCCTCGGCAGTCCTGGGTGCCAGCTGCGGTAGTGTCAGGAAGCACCTCGGTGCTTCCTCTGCCTCTGGGCCCGGCCGCCATCCCTGAAGTCTAGGGGACCCCACGGGGACCTCCAGCTCTCTGGTCCCATGCTATGGCTGGGTCCTAGGTGACCCATCCCAGCTTCTCTGGGGAGCCTCCCACCCCCAGGGCCATCGTGGCCTCAGCGCTTCCTCCTCAGATGGCGGAGAGAGCAGGCTGCCGGCCCCGAGAGGAAGGAGAGGGAGCCCTGCTGCTGCCCTGGGCCAGCTGCGAGGAGCCTGAGGTGCTTGTGGTGGGCTCACCCTCTGCAGGCGTGAATGAGTCCCCACTGATGACCTGGGGGGAGGTCGAGAACACGCCCCTGCGAGTAGAAGGAGCAGAAACACCTTACGTGGACCGGACTCCAGGCCCAGCCTTCAAGGTGAGTTGTGGCAGGAGGGGCATCTGATGCTGGGTCAGCTGCAGGCGCTGAAGGCAAGTGGCCAGTGGAGAGACTGGGGGCTGCTGGCAGCCATCAGAGACGAGGCAGACAGACTCTTGACTGCTCCGGGCAGAGGTGCCAGAGCCACACCGCACCTTGGCGGCTAGTTCTGGAGCCTGGTCTGGGTTGCCTGGGATGCGTTTTCTCTCCTGAGAGTCTGTGCTTGCTAACAGGGCACTGATGGTGGGGACTCAGGGTGATGGGCTCAGTGAGACTAGAGGCAGACTCGGGGCTGCTGAGCACAGAGGGCAGTTGTGGGCAGGCCCAGCCCCAGAGTTCCTGGAAAATGGTCCTTATGACTTGGAGAGGGAAGGAAGAGAGGTACCTGGAAGCAGAGGAGGGGGCCTGATGCACCAGGCATGGAGGACGCAGTGCCGTAGTACTGCGTAGCAAAGTCTAGAATCACTGTAGGAGAGAGCCTGGGGGCGCAGCGGGTGCGTGCTTGGGTGCCAACCAAAAGGCTAGTGTCCGCTCCAGAACAGATCTGCCGATGTCCAGCCTCAGACACCCCCTAGGGGTGTTCTACTCCGCTCCACCCGATGCCCACAACGGCAAGCTCCGTGGATGGAGAAGAGGTCATTCCCAAACCACCACCACCACCTCACTGCCACTGAGTCCATGCTGGCTCCTAGTGCCCCTACAGGACAGGGAGGGTAGAACTGCCCTGTGGGTTTCTAAGACTAACTCTTTACAGGAGTAGAAAATCACCCTTTTAAAATAAAAAATAAAAAATCACCCTTTTTCCCCCAAGGACCGGCAGGTGGTTTCGAACAGCTAAGCTTGAAGGTAGCAGGCCAATGTAACTACTGCACCCCTTTTAGGTTAGTAGCCAATTGTGTGCCCCCCAGGGAGCTGGTCTTGAGCCTGGCCCCTCTGCCCCAGTGGCTGCAGTCAGCTTGAAGTGCAGCGGACGTAGAAGCCTTTCTCACTGCAGCACCAGAAAACGCAGACTTGCCTGGCAGCGCACACTTGTGGAGCCACCCCCAGGAGAAGGCTCCTGTCGGGGCAGAACCCCAGCTGTGGGCCCTGCCTGTCTACAGAACTTCCCTGCCCCCCAGCAGAACCCTCCTGGTCTGAAGGCCACGTTTGTCCAGACAGCCCTGGACAGCGGTTCTGTTGCCTTGATTCTGAAATTCAGGACACAGAGGCAACCCCCCAGAAGCTTGAGACCCTAAAGCGCAGCGGAAGACCCGTGTCTCTTTCGCTGCCATCGAGTCAATTCCAGGTCCCTGCGACCCCCCAGAGTCGGACTGCTCCCGAGAGGGGCTGGGGCTGGATGCCTTGGCGGGGGTGGGGGGGGGGGGTCTGTTTTTATGGGAGGAGACAGGCACTGGCACGCTAGTTAGCAAGGCAGTGCTCAAGCCACTGTGCCACCATGGCTCCTTACTGGTAACTCTCAACCCACTGCTGTCAAGTCAGTTCTCGCTCCCAGCGACCCTCCAGCTCAGAGTCAGACTGCCCTCTGGGGTTTCGGAGGCTGTCAGTCTAGGGAGCAGTGACTGCTGGTGGGCTATCAGCCCGGCGCTTCGCCCACACCAGCCCCCAGGGCGCCTCGTGAGGCTGTGTAGATGTTTCAAAGTGTGCTAGGGGCCTTGGTGGTGGCATCGCGGTGCCGCATGTGGCTGTGATCTGCAAGGTCGGCAGTTTGAAACCACCAGCAGTTCCGTGGGAGGGACTGGGCACGCGACTCCTGTGAACACTCTTAGTCACAGTTACAGTCAGGAGCCCACACGGGGTCACTACGAGTCACCGCCGACTGAATGGCAGTGAGTCTCTCTCCTCCCGTAAAGAGTCAGAGTTCTGGAAACGCACAGGGCCAGGTTTACCTTTGTCCTATAGGGTCACTCAGTCCGCTGGGACTCGATGGCAGTGAGTTCGGTGAGCGCCTTAGTGTCGTGGTTAGACGTCGAGCTGCCTGCCGTGAGGTGAGCAGCTCGAAGCCATGAGTTGCGCTCCACTGGGGGAAGGTGAGGCTTTCTACTTCTCTAAAGCGTTGCCGTCTCAGAAACCCACAGGGGCAGCTCCGCCCTATCCTATGGGGCGCCATGGCCCTGAGTTTGGCTGGAGTGCCCCTAGAGTTTGCAGGGCAATGAAAATGAGAAATCCTGAAGGGAAAGCCCGCAGCTGAGCCTGAATGCAGGCTATGGTAAAGACAGCAATTTGAACGATCCTGGAAAGCTGAGAACTTGGAGAGCAGGCAAGCTGGAGCCTTAGTCTGGACAGTTTAGGGGAGCAGACAGCCGCCTGTTCACCCTTTGGAGAGACGCGAGTGTCTGCCGTATGGTTATCAGCCCACTGCTTAGCCCCTGGCGCCACCAGGGCTTCTCCGTATATAGCGAGTCGGGGCCAACTCAGCGATCCGCCCGCCCCACGCCCTCCTCGCAGTCGTCCCTAGCTCTGAGCCCGACATGCCGGAGCTGTGCATCGTTACTCAGGGTAAAGCAAAGCTCTTGGTAAAAAGCAAAACAAACAGGGACATTCTCAAAGACACTACCGACTGATGGCCACCAAACTCCCGGTCACCAGAGGGGAGCCGCTGAAAACAAGCCCTGCTTTTGTCCTGAGAGCTTGTCTGAGGCCGCGAACAGGGCAGTGCTAGACGAAGAGGAGTAGAGAAGATGAGGGCAGGCGGGGGTGGGGGGGCTCTGCGGGCTGTGGGGGCAGGGGCAGGGCTCCTTGTGGCTGTTCCTCAGTGTGAGACTCTGGGACCTGGGCCCACTTTACCCACCCTGCCACCACCACTGTTACTGCTCCCGCCTTGTAGATCTTAGAGCCGGGGCGTCGGGAGCGGCTAGGGCTGAAGATGGCGAACGAGGCCGCCGCCAAGAACCGAGCCAAGAAGCAGGAGGCCCTGCGGAGAGTCACGGAGAACTTGGCCAGGTGAGGACTGGCGCGGTTGGGCATGGGTCCCCGGGAATGTGGCTGTGGGGACCGCAGGGCAGGTCATAGCATCTGAGGGCCCTCCACCCCTGGGCTCCTCTTGCCAACCTGCGATGACTCGACCTCAGCCTGACCTCGCTGCCCTCCGTGTGACATGCTGCACCGCTTCCTCGCCCAGGGCCCTCGGCCTCAGCTCAGAATGACCAGGGGAGCTCCTGTTGCTGGGGTCCCTGAGCTGGCCTAATCCTGCCTCTTTTCCCCCCACTCCTGCCATAGCCTCACCCCCAAAGGCCTGAGCCCAGCCATGTCCCCAGCCCTGCAGCGCCTCGTGAGCAGGACAGCCAGCAAGTACACCGACCGGGCCCTGCGGGCCAGCTACACACCATCCCCAGCACGCTCCACTCACCTCAAGACCCCAGCGGGGGGCACCCAGACCCCTACCAGCACGCCAACTGTTGGCTCTGCCACGCGGACCCCCATTATCCAGGACCCGGCCTCCATCACAGACAATCTGCTGCAGCTGCCTGCGCGGCGCAAAGCCTCGGATTTCTTCTAGGCCAGTGGGCCTTCGCGGAGCCTGCTGCAGATGACTTTGGCCGGCTGATGCCCAGGCCCAGCCCAGGACGGAGGCAGTGGAGCTGGCAGAGGAAGGGGAGGTGCTGCGGCCTGGCCGCACAGGACCCTTGCACAGCCCCCAGCCCCCTCTCCCTTATGGACGTTGGGGGAGGCCTTGTTGGCACTATTTTTACTGAAACCTATCCAATGGTGTCATTAAAGAGCAACTATCAAAGCTGGCTGGCCGCCTCTGGGTCCACCCTGACCCATCGCTTGCTGCTGACACACGCTCACAGAGTCGATGGCCCCTGGCCCAGGTCTGCCCCTTAGACCACTCTAGAGGGTCCAGGACCTTCATGCCCCGGCCATACAGACCCTGCCTGCTTTGCTGGTGGCTGGGGCGTGACTCTGCGCGGGGAACCTTCCCCGCGCCTCGGCTGGGCTTTCCCACGTGTCTGGCTCTGTGACTCAAAGACCGGCGGGCTGCTTCTGTCCCTTCCCTTTGACCGCCACTTCCCACCACACCCGTCACTGGTCCCTCCAGCTCGACTGCCCACCCCACCATAGGATCCCCCAGGTAGCGGTCACCTGGGCCTTGGTGTCCAGGCACTTGCCTGGGACCAGGAGAACACCAGCTTCTAAGCCTCCCATGGCGCCTCGAGCCAGGGTGAGGGCCAAAGTGGGCCGTAGGCCTGCCCCACAGCATGCCCGCTACACCTGGCAGGCCGCCCTGGACCTGCCTCCCCCAAGTCCTTGCTGCTCCCCAGAGGCCAGGCCCAGGACTGGACACCTGCCCCAGTCAGCCCTGACCTATGCTCCTGACAGTCCCCAAGAGCGCCTGGCAGGGCTGAGGCCCCATAGGCCCTGCGCCGTCTCATGGTGCACACTGCAGGGAAGGTTGCAATGGGGCTAGACTGTCTAGGAGGCTGGGAAAAGCTGACACGTGCCCCTAGGGGGTGGGGAGGCTGAGATCAGAGTGGATGTGGAAAAAGGGGTGCTCTCTAGGCCAGGCCCCCATAAGGGCAGGAATTAAAAGCCGGAATACCTGGAACCCTGGGCTAGCCGATGCATGGCTTGCGGACCCTGAGTGAGGGCTGGACATACAGGAAGGCAGTGTGTGCAGGCCTGCAGGAGGCCTGGAGGTAGGTGGAGCAGAGGGGGACTGGGTGAGGTGGTGCAGCAGGGTCAGGTCGGAGCTGGCTGCGTTAGCTCCGTGCCCCGGCCTCACAATGCTTCCCCCCTCTGCCGGGAGTCCGGGGCCTGGGCGCCTGCGCTGGAAACACCTTTTAGTGCAGGGAGGAGCGGCCTGAGTCCTAGAGAAAAAGACTCCTGGTGGGCACTGTAGCAGCTTATACAGACTCTGTGGTTTATTGGCTGGACGGTAAGGAACGTCTTTGCTGCCAAGGGGAAGAAAGCTAATAGAAAGTAATCAAAATAGTGGTTTTTAATTGACGGACTTTACTCGGGCCTCGCACCTGTGCCGCCTTCAGCTCCTACCTGGTTGCTTAGCTTAAGTCACTGGAGCGCCAGCCACTCACTGCGCTCCCCCCCACCGCCGGGGCCCTCGCCACCACTAGGTGCTGGCTTTGCCCACCTCGGCCCCCGAGGGGTGATGGTCTTTGGTCTTGGAGGTCTCCGCCAGCCTGTCCTCCATCCTGCTGTCCTCATTCTCGGGCACCCCCAGCAGCCGGTGTTGGGGTTTGGCCCCCAGCTTGTGGTCAGGCCGGTGGTCAGGCCTCGAGCCAGGCCGGGTGTCGAGCTTGCAGTCGGCCCTGTACTTGCCCTCACCCTCCCTCTTGAAAGAACTGGAAGACATGGCTTTGGGCTTGGGGAGCTGCAGCCAGGCGTGACTGAGGATCTCGTCGATGTGCAGGCGCCGGTTGACGTCCGGCTGCAGCATGCGGTAGATGAGGTCCTTGCACTCGCTCGTCAGGTTCTTGGAGCGCGGGAAGTCCACGCGATGCTCCTTCTGGATGCGCAGCATCTTCTTGATGTCGGAGTCGTCGTAGGGCATGGAGCCGCAGACCATGATGTAGAGGATCACGCCCAGGCTCCAGATGTCGTAGACCTTGGGCTGGTAGGGGATGCCCT